TCTGGAAAGTTGTATCATTCAAGAGCTCCATGGCACCCGTACTTACTCAAACACAGCATCACTTTCCCATTGAGTTGCAATTGTGTTTTTACTTATCGACAACTCACATGGGACTGTGAGCGACACAGAGTGGGAAAACCCTACCTTATTCATAGATTTCCCCCAGAGGTTAGCAAGTCCCTGTGATGTAGTCAGTACTTAACGTTTGCTTTTGAATGAATAACATTCCTAGAGTCCTCAAACATGAGACCAAAGTTTAACTTTAAATCACTAATTTTAAAGAAATTTAAAACATGCTTGACCCTGTGTCAGACTCTGGAGAATCAAAGATTAGACTTCTGGTAAGTATCACAGACTGATTAAAAAAAGCTTTTTTTTCCTGCTTAAACAGTTTAAAAACCTGGGTAAAATAATGGATCCATGAACAAAAACAAATAAGTAACTGATTTCAAAAACAAGAAGCCAACTTCCAGATACAAACCAGGAGTGCACATCTCTGGCTTGGGGCTGAGGTCATCTGGCTCGGAGATTATCAGAATCAGATGCAGCCCATACGGGTGGTATTTAATGTCTTCTCAGAGGAAATAAATGCAGTTCATGCCCGCACTTGGAACTGATCTCTCTGCAAATAGTTAGAAGCTGTAAGAGGCAATTCCTGTCCCATTTGGGAAGCCTGGATTGAAAACTGCCCAGCAACCTGGCCATGAGATAGGACAGGTCACCACATTTCCAGGCAGGAGGAAAGAACCACATGTTCTTCATGCTCATTACTCATTCAGTGCAGGAATTCTCAAATCTAGAAGAGCTCTATGTTCTCATTACTCACTGGAACTCGCTAACCTAGAAATTCATATAGAATCAGTAAAACCAATAGGACAAGACCAGAGGCAGATGTGAACTTGTCTTTTAGAGACACTTCCACAACAGTCCATAAGAAGGTTGTACAAAAGGATAATTTCTACTGAAGATGAGCTCAAAGCTGAAAATTTCAGTCTTCTTTTGAGAGAGAATCAGTAGGGGCAACAAACCTAAGAATTCACAGTTCAGGATCCTGAGATAATAGAAATAATCTAAGAGAGAGATATTTTTAAGTGTGTAAAAAATGGAAGAAATAAAATTCATAGAAACAGGTCATTATGGCAAAATAATTGGTAGCCTTGAGAGAAATAAGAATTCAAATGAAAATATAGTCAGTAACCCAAAAACTCAGCAGATGGTTAAACCATAGATTAGCCATGGCTGAAGTGAGAATTAATAAAATGGAAGCTAGAGCCGAAGAATTCACCCAGCTGGCAGCACAAAGAGATAAAGAGATGTTTTCCTCTCTCTTTTTTTTTTTTTGATGTTTTCCTCTCTTAATCAGGAAATACAAAGGTGAGCCTGGTGTGTCTTGCACCAGAAAGTAAGGAAGTGTTCCCCCCAAGTCAGCAAAGATGGAGGTACAGCAAAAGACACAGAAACCAATTAAAAGAGCTCTAACAATGGTCAGTATTAGAGAATTTTGAGCAACATAATTAGGTAGTATTGGATTATAATCCAAAATATAAGATAAATATCCATGAGTCCATAATTATGTAAATAAGTGATTGAATAAATAAATGTGAGAGAAGAGAAAACCTCCCATGCAGAAGAATTCCAAATAATTTATATAGCTCTTCCTCTCTCAAGGAGACAGAGCGTTAACTCCCCACTACGTAAGTGTGGGGTGTACACAGTGACTCTCTCCAAAGAACACAGTATAAAAAGGGAGGAAAAGGAAGTCTGCCAAGTATCATCTTAGCCATGTGATCAAAGTCAACATCAGCAGTGATGTCAGGTTGATAGTATGTCTCCTTGATATGATGGGACAAGAATGGCACTTCACCTCTGTGGCCTTCTTCCCATGTCCCGTAACCCCAGTCTTAATCATGGGGAAAACACCAGGCAAATCCCAATCTTAGGGCATTCAGGCAAAATATCTAGCCAGCACTTCTCAAAATTGTCAAGGTCATTAAAAGCAAGGAAAATTTGAGAAGCTGCCGCAGCCAAGAGGAGCCTAAATTGACATGATGACTAAATGTAAATGTGGATCCGCATGGGATCCGGGAAGAGAAAAGAACATCAGGTAAAAACTAAGGAAATCTAAATAAAGTATGAACTGAAGTTAAGCAAAATTTAGAAGCTCACGTTCTTCCCAGCAGAAATCTCCACATAGGCCACTAACGCAGGAAATAACTAAAGTTAAAAAGGGAAATGGACCTCCAGACGTGAAAATTTCAGTGCAACAGTCGAAACAAGCTATCGATATAAATTAAGATGTGATAATGACACTAAAACATAAGTACACAATACACCAGTTGTGTTAAGTGTTAAGAGACATGGAGTGTATTATAGATGATTATGGACACGCACTTGATGTGCTAATGGTGTGAACCCATGGACATGAAGGACACACAGCAACCCGAGGGTAGTGGTTGCCTTTGGGGAGGCATGGAACAGGGAAATGGGACCAGGCAAGGACTGAGAAGGAACTGAACTGAATCTGCAATACTATATTTAAAAAAAAATCTGAAGTGAATGGTAAAATGCTACCATTTGTTCATTCTTGGAGGGGGTGGTTTTTGTATTATTCTTTGCATTTCTGTAGCTTGAAATAGATAATAATTTAAAAATAAAATATTTTTATAAAAATGAATTATTAATAGAAAAGTGGGATTGAATATAAGTTTTGTTAAAAAAAGATGCAAATAGAACAGAAAAAAACATGGCAAAGAGAAATCAAATATTGATAAATTAAGAAGTTGTCATATAAAGACACTATTTCAATATTTGGAGGTAACTTCTGGAAGAAACAGTTGTAAGACTTCAAGATAAGTGCTTTTTAGGGACAGGGCTGGAGATAGAGGAGGAGGCATTACACCTGCCCAGGCCAGCGCTCACCTTTGAAGAAGATGTAGTTCAAGAGAACCATGAGCGTGTCTTGCGTGAACTCCTCCAGGCAGTCCACCACCTGCCCGTATGTTTGCTTTCTCACGTAGTCATTAATCTGCCTCCTAGTTGTATTGGAATCCGTGAAATTGGCAGAAAAAGCAAAAGCCCCGTACAGCTCCCTGATGATGTCCAAAAAGCGCTGCTGGGGCTTCAGCTGCTTGTCCATGAACAGGGAGCTGCTGACTTTCAGTTCCAGTTTGGGGCTGGGCAGGTCGAGGGTGTGGATGAGGCTCTGGAAGCCATGGTGGATGTCGGCTTCTGGGGTCTCCGTGAGGTTGAAGCCGAGGCCCTCCAGGATCTGAGTTGGGGTGTCAGCTTGTGCCCCCAGAGAGAGCAAGGCCAGGGTGGTGGAGATGCTCACAGGAGAGAAGAAGATGTTTCCTGGGGTTTCTGCTGCCAGCTGCTTATACAAACGCAGAGCGAAGTCGGTAATGGTAGGTGTGACTTTGTGGTAGGCGGGGAGAGGCTCTGACAGCTGACCCCGGGGGGCTTCAGGCACCCCCAGGTTCTTATCTCCACGGGCAGGAAAGGGCTGACCGTGGACCGAGGCCAGAATCTCCGCTCCCAGCAGCCACAGCCACGCTGGTCCCATCCTCTGAAAACAAGATGTTAAACATGTCACTGTTTTTCATAAATAACTTCAAGGCTCTTCTTTGTTTATACAATAAACCTCCCATCCAAACTATCCCACAGATGCATCAGGCGGGGCACTGCAGAGGGTGAGGTGGGCGTGAGTAAGCAGGACTCCAGACACTTCCCCCGGGCTTCTCAGCGATGCGGCCCTTTATAGCTTTATATACTGATCTGTCTGGAAGATTTCATTGAGAAAAGGACTCTGGGCTTAAAAAAAATTCCGTGGTCTTTTCTCCCTG